GTTCGACAGCTAAAGGAAGAAGAAAACAAGAACAGTGGGCAGTATAGCAAAAGGTTGGTTCCAAGTCAGTCTCAGGCTCAAATCAACGGGCACTTACCGAGGAAGCAGCTGCAAAAAAAATCGGAACCAAAGCTTTCGATTCCGAAGCCCCAAATGCAGGGTTCATAATCCTTCGATGCCTCTTGTGATCTTCACCTGATGAGGAAGGTTCAAGCACTACCCTAGACAAATCAAGGAACGCGACGAACCGTGGACATAGGCAACACCGGGGCCTTCAACGTCAACAACGATCAGCAAAAAGATAAGAGTACGAGATCACGGCGCACGACTCCTCACCAGCAACAAACAAATTCCTCGCTCGTTGTTCACCAGAAGCTCCCCATCGATATCCCTGCAAGATATGATGGACTGCTTTAGGGTCCGAAATGAGCAACCGATCTTCCTAAATCAACACTTCGAGTTAGTCGCTTCCTCTGCGAGAACGTCTGCTATCACTCACCCCGAACGGAGCCCTGAAGCGAACTACGTTTCCGAATTGCGAAAGCCATCGAAAGTCCACCTAGTATGGAGTATGGCAAGTTCTTCTAAGCAGGAAATGAGAGGCGTATAGAGTAGAGTAAAACCATACCTCCCCTGCTTGAGTCCGAAGCACCTCCCCAAGGTTACCTATTTTTCCGTCGTCAGTGCCGCGAGCCCCTCAAATACCGAGTCCAAGTTTGACAAAGCAGTAAGCTCACCTATCCAGAACGAGGGGCTCTCCGGGCCTACAACATCAGCAACCGAGACATTCTCGGACTTGCGAGCGCGGTAGAGAAAAGCGCCCGCAACGATAGCCAGAAGGAGTGGGCCCAAGTTTTCTTTGACGACTTCGAGAGATGCGGTCATGATCGAGAATGTGTCCATTGGTTTCAAGCCTGAGCTTATATATACCGTAGAACCGAGGAGGATCAGGGCATCAAGGCAACATTTGCATCAAGGGGCCCAGGGAAGACGTGTACAACCGCAGTCGTGGTTTACTGAATTCGGTGAAGATTTTGATGATGTAAACGTAGCCGCAACTTCCGGGTCCCTGATATACGTAGACCATGATAAATCTGCAGGCTGCCATCGAGGTTGAAATGTACTCACAGTCGCGAATGATCAGTCAGGACCAGACTCTATAACGTAGCATTTCTCCCCCAGGGGTCTCCCCGAGCACGTACCACTTACTCCGAGTGCTGATGAGAGGTGTTGATTGCGAACCTGACCCTCTTCACCGTGTCCCGGTGAGTTACATATGGTAGAAGGTGATGGTGAATTGTGAACGTGCGAACTTGTTGAGTTCGAGTCTTCGAGTCCCAAATAGGATGCCCCGGCCCGCCTCTCGTTTCGGTTCGGTCGGACCGTGACGTGTTGTCTTCGTGGCCCTTCAACGTAAATTTAATTTTTTTGACGGATACTGACTCAATAGCGTCTAGCGTTGAAGGTATGAGCGAATTAGATAAAAGACACAAATTTTTTTGATTGAGATTCAACCGTGTAGCAGACCTCGGTGTACTAAATCCACCGTCAATACAACAGACTGGCGGACCATATACATGGAATCCATGTACGAAACTAACAGGATCTCAAAGGAAGAAGAGGAACATTTGAAAGAGAGGTGGGAGAAAAAGAAAGCAGCACCAGAGACCGAAAGGGTCAGCTGCATGCATACTATGAGATGGTGGATAAAGGTCTTTGACCGTCCTATCATTGGTATAAACAAAGGCGGGCAACGAAAAAAAAAAAGGAAAACCGGACTAGTACATACTACTTACGATTGATCATCATAACAGCCCCTTGCCATTGTTCTGGGTCCTACCTTCCGGGACTTGTCACCTGGATCTGCAGGGGGTTGATTATGATGATTATGATACTATTCTGGAACCCTTAATGAAACGGGCAGGGTAATGAAATCGGTCATAGAAAATGTTGTTCCCGCCGTTTTCCCGCCTCGGGAATTTTTTCTTAGCAAATTATGGTACAAACAAACATGTCTCTATCACCACTAGTCCTCAGCTTGGAGGGAACGAGAATGGGAGGCGAAAAACCTCAGAATTCAGGGTGTGATTTGGGCGTGACAGCTCAGGAACCAATCATCATTGCTTCCAGTCCACGGGGTAAGTACCTAGGTATGTAAGGGCATATTGAGAGTGTCTACAAACCAAGATTTGGAGGGGGAGAAGGGCAGGAGTGAGCTCGGTGAGCGTTGAGGAATAAAAACAGACTGAAACTGTACTCACGGAGGTGATGCCAAATTGATGACCATTAAGCGCAGATCAGGCGTGACATTTCGTGACGCCAAGCGATTTCACTTCTCGCGCCCTGCTCGGTCACTGCCCGACACAACGAAGGGGAGAGCTGAAAATCTCAGAAAATCAGGTTGACCATCTTTTTCTATGTCCAATACGTCTATCATAGTATCAGGCTTATATTATCATGGGTCTCACACCGAAGCCACGGAGCGAAAAATCCAAAAAAAATTTCATTTCCCGCGCCAGAATAGTATGGATGGCTGGTGAGCGGCACCAGTGCCGAAGCCGAGCCCAGCCAGCCGTAGGCAACACTACTTGAAGCAGCCAGAGATGGCGGGTTGAGCCACTGTTACCACTGTGCTGGATCACACTTTCCAGAACTTGTCATCTGGATCTGCCCGGGGTATGATGATTATAGCAATTGGAACGGACAGAGATGGCAAGTTCATGATAGCAGCTAGAACAGCCAGAGATGGCAGGTCATGGGAGCCACTGTTACCACCGTCCTGGATCAACACTTCTAAATCTTGTCCTCTGGATCTCCAGGGACCTCTGTATATAGCACGCGCGCCCCAATACGCCTACGCTCCCTATACGCGAGTCACCCGCCAATGTCGCCGCCAAAAAGCACCCTTACCCCCCAACGCAAGCATCGCAAACTTCTCAAGGATGGCTCAGGCTTAGAAGTATGGCCAGAGCACATCGAAGCCATCTTCGTCGAAGGCCTCAGAGCGTACTGGAAATCTCCATGGGCCACATATTCTAGCGGTCGTTCACACTGGAGGAACCCCTATCTGGTCGAGTATCTCCGTAAAAAGGGCATCACTAGGTCGAAAAAGCAGGTTGCCTCCCATCTCCAAGTTCTCAGGAACAAGTGGAAGGGCGAATTAGAGTACCATCTCGTCGCCGGTGCCGATGAGCGGGTTAAACAGCCATCGCACCCAGAGAGCGACTCGTCCTCTTCAACTTCCAGTCCCCTCATATCCCTCTCATCACCCTCTAGTCCACTTCCAGCGAACAGTGAACAGATCCGGTGGCAGATACCTGACTGTCTAAGCCGAAGCCCGTTCATAAACACACCCCCGAGTCCGGAGATCCCATCATCATATCTACACGCAACACATCCTCCGATACAAAAAACCCCTTGGCTCGAGCACGAGAACGAGAGATCCGAGTCGAACCAAAATCAAAATGAACACCGAGCCACCCCAGGCACGTCGTCAGAGATAAACCACAACGAAACTATTCACACCAGCTCGCACAACACCACTACCACGACAAATTCCCATTCACATAATAATGTCAATATCACGATTGTTCACCATCACCATTATCACGAGCCCCAGTCGCATCGGTGCCGGTGATGTATCGCAACGTTCGTTACACCAAATCGTCACGGTTTATGTTCCGACCGTATTCTGGTACCCGCACTCTGGCTCGCACCGCGTCCCCTCATTCGTCGTTCGGTGGGGTGAATAGTGGGAATGTGGTTGAGAAGGCCACGCATCGATGGCCTCGCCCCTCCAAGTGACATCGGAGTCAGGGGTCGAAAGACCATGACTTCTGAGAGTCTTCAGCGTGGGGGAGGGGGCGCTTCCTATCGTACGACTCGGTTCGGGCTTCTTGGTTTACCGGTTTTAGGCAAGTAGAGATCTTCTCTACATACAACACTGGCAGTTCCTAGATGGCGTTCAACACGACATCGTAAGGACAACTGCGCAGTGCGCCACAAAAGAAAAACACACACACAAGAGAATGCCATGCATCTGGGCGGCTGGAAGTCGGACGATCCCAGTCCACATTGATGTGTTCTCGGATTTACAAGTTTACTGCGTCCTTTGCTTGGATTCAGTTCCGTTTACTATCTTTATTCTTATTTATATACGTTTCATTTCTCATCTATCATTTCCACCGGTTAGGAGTTTCTATGCCTATCGAGGGTCGGTCTGGCTGTAGTTTCCCCTCAAATTACAATCTATTTATTCAAAAACCATGCTACATAGTCCGGGCAGTGTTGAACGTTCTTGCTTCTCATCAACCGCATTGTTCTCATTGAATGCGCGCCACTAGATGGAGAACCACAACTTGCAATTCATACAACTCGGTCTGTAAAGTGAAGGTTACGTGTAAATATACCACTGATATTTCGCGCCCACAGGCACCCACAGGGATAGGCATGTATTAGTACTTACACTCCCTAAAATGCGCCTGCAGTGTGTTGGATAGCAATTCTATTTCTAGGATGCCTCGCGTTTCCCATCATGATCTTTTTTACCATCGACCGAGCGTCACTGTGGCTGTCGTTCGTCCTAGTCAGCGCTCCAGTCTGCCGAATATTTCCCAAAACACCCTCGGATATGGGGGGGGGGGGGGGGGGG